TGATTTCAATGGGTCCACTCAAAGTATGACAAAAACTGAATCCAACTCATTGTCATCAGATTTTATGGTTCAAAGGAACACAGTCCTATCTGGCGCAAACCCTCAATATGAAAAGCAAAGGTAAAATAAAATAGTTTATTTTTCAATGGGGATTGATATCCCAGTTCTGTGAGTCAGCATCTGTCAAGCTGTGCCCTGTCTTAGAATGACTCATTACTTTTGGAGCACCAGACAAAGCAGAGCTGAATCATCTAATTGCAAAAGTGATAAACAAGTGTGAGCTTTGTTTGCTTGTTTGTTTGTTTTTAAATCCCAAACTCGTGAAAAGATACTTCGCTTAGTGTGCAGAATTGAATTTAAAAACAAGAAATCCACTAAATAAGTAGTGAAGACTGGGAATTCTTGGAATTTTTTTAAAAAAATCAGAACACCACAAAGCATGAGTCAAATTGTGATAAAAGTACTGGTGGTCTAATGTTCTGATATAGCACTGTAGGGTGTACAGAGGCAGCTCTACCTATAGCATGACTTAAAGCTGTTAGCCTGTTTGTGCCTGTCGTGAAATACTGGACACCAGCCATCAATCATTCTTCATTATTAAGATCATTCAGAGTCATTGTGGTAGTCAGTCACTCTCTCTGAATGAAGGGATTCAAGATATTGGTGGGCTAAATGATATGCTATATGACTAGGGATGCAATATTACAAAACCTGGATTGATTTGCCCCATATTTTATGTGCCCCCAGTGCCACCCCAGTGCGCACTTAGCCCAGATTTTAAGCTTTCATTTTAAAAGAAAAAGTAAGAAAAAAGAGGAATTGGTAGAAAGAAGGACGGCAGAGAAATTTTTTAGAAACTTCTGCTTGTTGTTGAGGCTGAGCCTATGGTTGTTGTGAATTTTAAATTTATGGAAAGAGGTTTGAAATAATACGGACAAGGTAATGTCCTTTGTCTTGGGATTATTATACTGGGATTATTGAGCCTGCTTACATTGATATAGGTCCTCCTGAAATAAATGGTTCTTACACATCAGTAAATGTGCATAGGGAAATGATATACTTTGTACTTATTAGCATGTAGACAGTGTTACTTTCTTAGACTACAGATCACAGAATCCCCAAAGTGACATGGTCAGTGACCGTTCTGGATGGGTTTTGGATGATGCTGTCCAAAATGCAAATTTCCAAGGTCTGCTAGGAATCTGTCTCACTCCTAATGAGTGAGGCTCATAACAGTGGGACTGAACAACAGCTAATACAGGTGGGGGTTTATGAATGAGGTTTTGCATTGATAAACATGGGACATAAAAAGTTAAGCTAGACCAATTCCTAGTCATCAATAATATTGATCTGTATCTCAGCAGATCTCTGCCCTTTGCTCTCACTTTGTCCAGCATTATTTTCCCTGCAGATCAGTTGATTTGAGTGCACCATGAGGACACCTTCATGGTGACCATGACATTTTCTTCCTTTTGCTCCATTTTGAAAACTTTTATTGAAAGGAAGACCTTTCGACGCTAAGAGGAGGAGAAAAGGAAACATCCGACTAACGCAGCCTGTAAAGGTCTCTCTGGATCGAAGGGATTGAGACCCTGACATACAATGTGACAGTGCCCACACAGCAGAGCGAAGAAGAGACGGTCTGGGTGGGGGGATTGGGAGAGGGAGCAAGTGAGCACTACCTCAGTTAAGACTCTTCTCCAGTCCCCCTTTCCAACATGTAGTTTTTATTTTGTTTTGGTTTCTTTTAAGTACGGTAATAGGTAGGTGGTAGGGACGTGGTGGCGCTGCGGGCTAAACTGCAGAAACCTTTGTGTGCTGCAGGGCCAGAAGACCAGCATTTACAAGATCGAATCCACGTGACGGAGTGAGCTCCCGTCGCTTTGTCCCAGCTCCTCGCCAACCTAGCAGTTCGAAAGCATGTAAATGCGAGTAGATAAATAGGTACCATCTTGATGGGAAGGTAAACAACGTTCCGAATCTAAGTCGCGCTGGCCACGTGACAGCGGAAACTGTCTTCGGACAAACGCTGGCTCTATGGCTTGGAAACGGGGATGAGCACCGCCCCCTAGAGTCGAACACGAGTGACTAAAATGTCAAGGGGAACCTTTACCTTTACCTAATAGGTAGGTGAGTTAAAAACTCTACTCTAGCCCGTCTTCTTCTTTCAGAACAAAGTGAAGTAAGTGTGAGGAATATGTCGTTATTTGCTTGATGGATGCCAGGAAGCAGCTGACAATTCATTATCTGTGCTGTATGCTGTCTTTTAGATGCCTTGGGTGGAGGAATAGGCAGTAGCAGGACATGGTGGGAAGCAGAGAGGGTAAAGAGGGACCATTCAGTAGTGATTCATCAGGGACACCCCTGGCTCATTTCTGATGCAAACCTGGGGATGGGATTCATTTCGTTCCAGTCCTATCAAACTGCTGTGCAACATGGACTGTAATTATCCAGGATTTTAGCAGGTCTGCAAATTTCACAACAGTGTTCCAAAATGTTAAAAACTATATATAAATCAATGTATATATTAGATAAACTTTTATAGAAAAAGGCTCTCGTTACAGGGAGTGCCCGCAAAAATCTGCGTATTATAAAACACACTTGAATGTTTCTTTCTCATATGCTCATTATGAGAAGCTTCCTTGTAGTGTCTGATGCTCCACTCTGCCATTGTTCAGAGCAGGGCATTTAGCCCAGTGATTTGTAGTTTTTGACAACCTTCCCTGTGTGGGCCAACCCACCACATCTTTCACAGATAACATACTGTTGCATTTTGTGTTTTAGGTTTGTTGTGTTTTTAAAATTATTGTTATAAAACACATTTAAATCTTTCAACATATGAATATTTATTCATAAACTGTTTCACATCTTCTAGGTGCTACCAAGACAAATTTAAATAAATAAATAAATAAATAAATAAACAAACAAACAAATAAATAAATAAATAAATAAATAAATATTAATAATTTGTTTTCTGAGGTGATTCCCTTAGTCTGTATGTAGGAACAGCAGCCTGTTCCAGAGCTGGTTTGTGTCATAGTAATGTGCTTATGTCTCAGTCTGTACCTAAATTCTGGGTGAAATTATGCATTAGATACAATAACGAAAGCTGAAATCCTGTTAGCGTTTAAGAGATGTGATTCAGCCAGTCTTTCGTGTCTGAGAAATCAGACCTGCAAAGGAACAAAAGGCATATGGCCTGAAGATCAAATATAAAACAAAGTAAGCTAATTTGCAAATTATGAGAGACACATAATCGACCCTTGGAGAATTCTGTTTTGTAGCCATGAATTATCTGTAATGTATAGTTTGACCACAGATACTCCTCAGAGGCAGGTGAATAAAAAGCAGCAGCCAGAGAAGGTATTAAGAACCCTCTATCATTCCCCACACATCATTTCCAGAGGAGTGTGTGTGTAAATTTCTCTTGCAGTTTGATTGCATCCATTTGCATGGAAGATATAGCCAGGTGCTTAGTCTACCTGGCAGAATTTAAATTTGAGCACTCTTTCACAGGAGACCATAGGCTTCCAATGCCAAGCAAGTCACTAGGCTATGAAATGAGGACTCATTTTTCAGGATGAATATTTCTTTGGAGAATTAACCTGACACTCGCAGTACTTTGAGGTTAATTCTCATTCTGACCCTCTTTAGGATTATAGTCCAACTCAATTAGATGTTGAAGAAAAGTCTTTCCTTTCTTTAAGGCAATTAATATTCTCATAAGCAGATTTGATTAGGCCACATGCATTTTGCTGGATGGTTCATTAGGAAAGTCCACTGTTCAAATGCCTTTTCAGTATCATTCATGGGGTTGTCAGTCCAAAAAGCAATCTAAAAATACATCACTCAACATTCATTGCATGATAATATAACTGTGGCTAGAATAATCTTCATAGAAAAATGTGAATATGATATTCCTTGCTCATCCCCCCCCCCCCCAGTTTAGAGCACAGCATGTTGAATCACTGGGTTAAATGTTGACTTAGTCATACTTACAGTATCTATTTAAATCTATCAGACTTGATTAAATGACTAATGCTCAGTTCTATTGCTTTCACAGAGGCTACTCTTAAGTGTGACGATGTCCAGATCTAACCTGTTGGCTTTCCAGTGCCCTAGTGGTGCACTAAGTGATTCTTTTTAACTATACCATGGACCCTCCATAATGACATTTAAATGTTCACTCGTGATATTTAAATTTCCAGAGAAATATAGGACAGTGGAGACAGTGTGTGCATGCCAGCAGCATTTCTTCTCTTATGGGCCTCATGTGTATTTACTAAATAGTATTTTCTATCTGAGGGATTTTCAGGAGTAGTTTTAGGTTACCTCAGGAATTTCTGCAGAGAGGATTCCTCAGAAGAACATGCATGTATGTGCTCATAGGTTGATTACTGATGGTTTTGTTTATATGAACCCATTTCAGACATAGGAAGCTGTCGTATGAGTGGTCAAACTATTGTTCCATATACCTTTATTGCCTTCATAGACTTGCAGCAACTCGCCAGAGTTTTAAAAAGAATCCTTCCAGCTCTCCCTGAAGATGCAGAGGGTGCAAGAGTATGCAACCTTCTGTGGAGAAAATAGGAGCTCCACCACTCAATTAAAGCCTCTTCTGTTCTTAAAGTATCTAATCAGCTTGGGTTCATTCATTCAAGGATGGGCAAATCCTGAAGGCTGGGGTCTAAATTTCCTGCACTTGCGATCTGCATATGCCTTCTCCTCAGAAAAACATGGGGGGGGGGAGAAAGAACAAACATTAACGGCATTTCTAAATTCATATCAGTGTTGTTGCTTTTTAACATTAAAAGTAGGGCTGCTCTTTTTCCTTAGAAAGCCAAATGATGCTTCTGGAAACTTCCTTTTTCTCTGAGGGAGGGGAGGGTTCTAGGAAGAGCCAGAGCATTGATTCCCAGCACCCTATTTTTTCTGTTTCGAGAAGAGCTTTTGATGGTTGGATCTAAGGACACTAATTCTTCCATTTCCTGTCTCCTCAGAGCGTGTAACTGCTGTGAAGACTGATATCTTTGTTACCAGCTTTGGACCTGTTTCAGACCACGATATGGTAAGCAATCTCTTATCTTCCTTTGGTTTTAAAGTTTTTCTTAGCCTTGAGAAAGGGTATGAAAATTGGCACTAACTTGTCATCACTGTTGCCTAACCTGCTTTCCATGCTGATACAATTTTTAAAGTCTTCTGCATTCACGATATCTAAACTTGCTTAATGTATCACCTTGAATGTCAGCCCCAGTTAGGCAATCCAGTCCCTCTGAAATGTTTTTAACCTAAGGCTCACTCAGTACCGTTTTTTCCAACATAGACAGCAGAAAACGGGAAGACATTTTTGCCTACAATGGGCATGTCTGCTTATGGATGGGTCATTTGAAGGTTAAGATGGGAAGGAACTCAGACATAGATGTCTAGTAAATCAGCAGGGAGAAATAAAAGAGGATAATAAACAATGTCTGATTGCTCAGCTTATACTCAAATCAGATACTGGGGAGCTGTAGAAAATATGCCATACTGTCTCATCACACATACCTCATTTGGACAATCAGCTTTCCATTTCTTCTCCATCACTCCAACCGAATCTATATTCCCTGCCAAATGTTAGGTCAGAGGTTGACTACTGAAGTCCTTTAAAAGCTTGACTGCTCTGGTTCAAACTTTCCTAGTTCTTGGGATATTGCTTTTCAGGAGAGTGACTATAACGAAATGCCAAAGCTATCCACAAGTGAGCACTGGTAGGGTGATGCTCTGGGTTCTAAAGCATCCACCTGCCACAGCTCAGTTGTGAATGGCTTCCTTATAGCCACTGTTCCAAGAAGGAGCTTGTCAGACTCTGCCAGGCGCAAAGGAAACCTCAAACCCTGCAAGGCATCTAAAGGATTTAGTTCTCTGATTGCAGCAGCTTATGTGGAAAGCCACAAAGAAACGCTGGCAGCCCAAATAAATGCTCTTAAGTGCTGAGCACTGGTCGATTAACAGGCTCTTTTATTACATTTATTGATACACAAGAATAAGAATTCAAAGGGCCTGGTAAAACTTTGAAAACTATTTCACAGGTATGCATATTCTGGCTTGTTTTTTGTATAGATATGATTTTGCATTATGCATTATATGAGTGTGGCGTATGTCCTGATAAGATGTGGCAGTTACAAAGCCTTGCTTTTCTTTCTCCCCCCCCCCCTTTTTTTTTGGTCGCTACAAATACTGTTGCAGAATTAATTCTGGAATGTTTCCAATAGGGATCTTGAAATGCATGGAGCACGAATACAAAGTATAGTACTTCGGGGATCAAAACTTTGCCCTCTTATATTTGCATTAGTGCTTTGCTTCAAAGAAAGAAGAAGCTTCTCTCTCTCTCTCTCTCTCTCTCTCTCTCTCTTCCTGCCCCCCCACATACTCATACACAGAAATTAGTGCATTATGGATGTTATGTGGAAAAACTGTCACAGGGTCTGTACTGATCACTTTGTCCCACCTCATTTTTAATCAGTTAAAAAGCAGTTGGTATTTATCAATTAACAGCATGCTGGGCCTGATCCTGTATACAGATCTCAATTCCTGTGGGGTGGAATCATGTTATGTGTAAGATATTGTGATATATTGGTTGTTCCGTTTACTCTTATGCCTGTTGAGGTTCGTGCACATAGCATTCTGTGCAAACACGAGTCCATTTTTTTTTTTTTTTTAACGTCAGATGTCCTGGGAGACATAAATATGAGTATGCCCTGAAATACTCATTATAAACATATTTCGAGATGAATGGGAGCATTCATTTTCTACCCAGGATCTCATCACCCCCGACACAAGTTCTCAGAATTACAAAGTGATAAAGTTCTCAAGGACACAAACATCACCGAGTCTGTCCCTCTGCTGTTGAAGGTAGTCCACAGAGAGTTAGGAAGAACAGAGGAAGTTGAGAGTGGCTGATTATTTTTATCTTGTGTGGGGGGGGAAACCTCACCCCCCATATTTTGGGTTTTGGTTTCCCCCTTTTCCCACTCGAGATCCACCTGACAACAGAGCTGAGATGTGACATCACTGACATGTTTGGATTGTTGCTGGCCAGCTGGAAAGAGACATGTAGTCTACTAAATGAAACTATAGAGTGAGTGAATCATGGGTGGGGGGAATAGTCTGTTTTATGTGCTTGTGCCCAGGTTGCTTGTTTGGGGCCATCTGAATGCATAAGATCATTTGACATAATGGTACACAGGCATTTTATACTCATTTTACAACTGAAGCTAGGCAGGCCTGACTCTTCAGGCTGCCTGGATGAGAAGTCCCTTGGGAAGCATAAGCAAGTTGCCTGACCAATTTGGAAGAATGATGAGGTTTAAGTGACATGACTAACATATGCCTCGATATCTGAAGGATTCCAGGCACATTGACTGTTTTGGCATCTGTTTATTGAATACTCACCACAAAGCGGCAAAATGAATGTCAGGTTGTTTGTGTCTGGGCTGCGGCATTGCTATTGAGTGAATGAGGTGATTGTGTAATGCAGAGCAAATTGGTCTCAAAGAGAAATATCTTACTAGGAGCATGTTTGAAAAGAGAAATTTAATACATTTAAGATGGAGGAGTGGGAGAAGCCCTGGACGTTCTATAGGGCAATTTTTGCCTCTAAAAGAACTCACTAAGATGGCAACTGTTTATGATTAGGGGTTTGATACTGAACTTTTGTGAAGAAACAAGCTCCTTGTTTTGTTGTCTGTATTGGCTGTTCTTATTGAAAGGCCAATGTGTAAAAGGATAGATGTCTTATGCTCTTCCAGAATCAATTCATCTTTTCAAAGACTTGTCTTTGAAGGTCTGTGTGATGGAAAGCAAAGCAAAATAAAATATAAAATTTAAAAAGGATTATCACTTTTTCCCTCAAGATTTCCCACAGAAGTGTCATGGCAATTAATTTCTTGGCCAGTCCAATTCCCCTTTGCTGTGACAGTGGTCACTCAGGCACTGCCAAAATAAAAGAGGAAATGTACCTGCAAATAACAGGACAAAAGGTAACACTAAAAATGGAAGACAATTTAGTTGTATTCGGCCATTTTGGTGTATGTAGCATTCACACACACCCCAGGAGCAGTTGCAAGGAGAAAAGTGTCTTGCCTTAAGAATTCATGTATGGGAGGGGGGTTAGAAGATAGGGCTGTGCATTGCACACACACACCATGTTTTGTTCAGAAACCATGTCAGTTTCTCAGCTTCAAGCCAGACCCTGAGTTGGTCCAAAGCAATTCAGAGCCTCTCTGATTTGGTTAGGACTTTGAATCTGAATTATGATTTGGGGATCCAGATCACCAGCCTTTCCTCTGAATTACACTGAAAAATAAAAACAGCTGTAAGGTCCTGCATTGACTTTATTTTTGTCCATATAATGAGTCTATTTAGACCAGGAGGAAGTGAAACCAATGTGGAGGATATATCAGGGATCTCCTACCAACTGTCCTCAGACTGAAGAAGCTACTTGGATGAGTTAGTGAAACATTTCAACTAACAAGAAAGAAATCCAGTTGCCATGACTCAACTTCCAGATAACTCACCTGGATGACTGAGAATCTTCACAGATATAATGCTTGAGAAAGTGGGGGAAGTTATGTAAATGAGAGAGAGTGCATAACTAAATGCAGAGATTAAGAAAAATGTGTAAAAATAGGCACAGATTTCAGTGCAAGAAGAAAACCCAAAGTCTCACAAACTGATGAGAAAAAATGATAAGAAGAAAATGCACTTGAGATTTGGAAAATGCAGCAGAAGAGAAATGGAAAGATCTTCATATGACTAGAGGAAACTGATTTGCATATAATTGATGTATGATTACAAACACATGCACAAACTTTAAGGGCCCAGTTGTCCCTAGCTAGTCTTTCACCTTTAAACCCAGCATGGATTGGATGCACTCCAAACAGAGGACTGTCTTCTACAGAGGCATACAAATGGTCACACTAAAAATCTGTTCTTTGTGATTACTGGAATCCTCATTTTCTGTGACACCCACTTGCTAGTCCCCCTGCTCATCCCCTTTTATTACTTTCAAAATGGTAAAATGGGCAAAAACAATATATACTCATGATTCGTTTAAGCTCAATGTTCTTTTGGGTTCCCAGTATTGTGTAGCGGATAGAGTAGTGGACTAAAACTCAGGAGGCCTGTGTTTGAACCCTTGCTCAGCTACGGAAACTTATTGGGGGTGTGAAGCTGGTAAAATTGTTCTTTAAATATCTCACTAAGCCTTGTTAAGGTCACAATAATTCAGTTCCAACTTGAAGGCACAAAACAACAAATAACATTGTTCTTTCAGCTTCTGTCTTTTTAGTGCTTCCATTGCCAAATGAACAGTTTTCAAAGCTCCTCTTGTCTAATTTTAGGAATACACAATAGATGTATTTTTCCGGCAAAGCTGGAGGGATGAGAGACTGAAGTTCAAAGGGCCCATGCAAGTCCTCCGACTTAATAATTTGATGGCCAGCAAAATATGGACACCTGATACATTTTTCCATAATGGAAAGAAATCAGTAGCTCACAACATGACTATGCCTAACAAACTCTTGCGGATTACAGAAGATGGGACGCTGCTCTATACAATGAGGTGAGCATTGCAACATGGCACTTTCTCATTGATGGAAAAGCATTGATTATTATAGTTACGAACATGTTTTGTGCATTTAATGTGTCTCTTTTAAAAGAGGTATGTTAGAATTTCGTATATTGGCTTGATGGGTACCTGTCACAAAGGAATATAGCTGGTTTTGCCTTTCAGTGCAAAATTGTCTTTTTGTTAATGGGTATATTTTCATTGGCTGATCTTTAGCCTGCTTAGTCCCTCTGAAGTCTCTGGGACATATAAAAGGTTTCATTGATCACTTCCATGTGTTTGGGGATTAGACTGTTGCAGTCCAGTCTTATTAATGAGCTTTACCTGCTATAGCAGAAACAAAAATATGTAGAATATTGTGTGCTGTTTATATACTGCCCCATAGCATCTAAAGCACTCTCTGGACCATTAATGAATTAATGATGCAGGCTGCATGTTGCCCCCACCACAGCAAGCTGGGTACTCAGTTTCCAATCTCAGAAGGATGGAATGCTGGGTGAACCTTGAGCCAGTTACAAGGGATTAAATCTGGGTCACGTGCAGATTAACCACTGCACCACAAAGCTCCTCATGGCATTAAAGGAGCATCCTGGCTAGGCTCATGTGCCATAGCTAGCATAGTAGCTAGAAGAGAAAATAGAGATAACCATTTTACAAGATGCAACACAGACAAGTAACTCTTTGAGGAAAGCATAAAAGGGGATAGTTTTCTGGTCTGCTTAGCCAATCCCAATAAGAAACTGTTTCTCTGGCATGAAAAGAGGAAGAACAGTTGTCAGTCTCTTTGCGAGGTTCAAGTACAACTGTAAATAACACTGGGTGTCTCTTATAGAGGTGTTGTGGATTAGGATAGGGAAGAGCTAGATTAGAATTTCCCGTACATTTTGAAAGTAACAGTCTTGACTTTGGGCCTGTCACTATTCCTAATCTGCTTTACAAGGTACTTAATGAGGATAAATTGGGATATGAGATCAGTGTTACTGTAAATCTCTTAGAGAAAAAAATGAAATGCAATTAATGGCTGAAATCCTACTGGTGTTCATATAAAGTTCCTATAACTGTTCATAGCTAATTGAGGCTAATTGAGGAGGTACTGGATTGCATTGTGGTTGTGCAAGCAGCTACTGGACCGGGCTGATAACCAAGATGTGCCTCAGCATCTAGTCAACTAGTTGCAATTGTTGTTGTTTAGTCGCTAAATCGTGTCCTACTCTTTGTGACCCCATGAACCAGAGCACGCCAGGCCCTCTTGTCTTCCACTGCCTCCCGGAGTTGGGTTAAATTCATGTTGGTCGCTTCAATGGCAGTGTCCAACCTTCTTGTCCTTGTCCGGGCTGATAACCAAGATGTGCCTCAGCATCTAGTCAACTAGTTGCAATTGTTGTTGTTTAGTCGCTAAATCGTGTCCTACTCTTTGTGACCCCATGAACCAGAGCACGCCAGGCCCTCTTGTCTTCCACTGCCTCCCGGAGTTGGGTTAAATTCATGTTGGTCGCTTCAATGGCAGTGTCCAACCTTCTTGTCCTTGTTCATTACCTTCTCCTCTTGCCTTCACACTTTCCCAACATCAGGGTCTTTTCCAGGGAGTCTTCTCTTTTCATGAGATGGCCAAAGTATTGGAGCCTCGACTTCAGGATCTGTCCTTCCAGTGAGCACTCAGGGTTGATTTCCTTCAGAATTAATAGGTTTGTTCTCTTTGCAGTCCAGGGGACTCTCAAGAGTCTCCTCCAGCATCTCAATTCAAAAGCATCAATTCTTTGGCAGTCAGTCATCTTTATGGTCCAGCTCTCACTTCCATACATTGCTACTGGAAAAACCATAGCATTGACTATGCGGACCTTTGTTGGCAAGGTGATGTCTCTGCTTTTTCAGATGTTGTTTAGGTTTGTCATCACTTTTCTACCAAGAAGCAGGCGTCTTTTAATTTTGTGGCCGCTGTCACCATCTGCAGTGATCATGGAGCTCAGGATAGTAAACTCTGTCACTACCTCTATATGTTACCCTTCTGTTTGCCAGGAGGTGATGGTTTTTTAAATTTTAACTATAACATAAACATAAAATACATAAACCAAAATACAAATTAACTGTGTACCTCATCACCATAATCGGGACCTCTTGCAGTACTCTTCTTCTTCCTTTATCTTTGGTCTTTATTGTCCTCTTCTCCAAAACTGCATTGATTCTTGATTTGGAGTTTTCCCTTTTCCTCTTGTTAACACATATTCCAAAAATCTGCCCCATATATCATAAAAATTATTCTTTTTCCATTTTCCTTTCTTAACCTTTAAATTACGTTAGCTTATCATTTATGGCTGTATTCCATATTTCGTTATCCCATTCTTTCATTTGAAATTCCAATTTTGATTTCCAATTCCTAGCTACTATTAATCTGGCTGCTGTTAATAAATTGGTAATCAACTCTCTAGTTCTCATATTCTACATTCTCAAGTACTGATAATGGAACTATTTTTGGATTAAATTCTATATCTTTTTCACATATGTCATTTAATTCTTTAAAGATTAGTTTCCAAAATCTTTGTACTTTTTCACATTCCCACCACATATGAAAGTATGTACCATTTTTCTTCTCACATTTCCAACAGATATTCAGATAACTAGTGTTAATTTTATTCAATTTTGTAGGTGTCAAATACCATCTTAAGCCCAATTTGAAAAAAAAATTCTTTTATTCTCACTGGCATAAATTGTAAAATCCTCATTTTCCACATCTTCATCCATTCTTCATCATTTATTCTTTTTCCTAAGTCTTGTTCCCACACTAACTTCAGTCCTTCTTTCTCATTGTCTTCTTCTAAGTCATGCAGGAATCTGTAAATTTTACTCACTGCTGCTTTTACTGAATCATTCATCTGAATATCTTCATATGATAATAGGAATTATTCATACTTCATATATTCTCTACCTTTATTTCTTTACCCATTCATTAATCCATCTTTCTAATTGCATATAATTCAACCATGAAATATTCTTATTCTGAAGGATTTGTTTCATTTGATCTTTTGATCTCATTTTATACAACCGGTCTTTCAATCTAATCACTTTTTTTCTTTAAATAATTCCGTATAAACTTTTATATTGACAGGAAAATTCTCTATTTCAGTCACTAACCCTAGTGGAGAGTTAAATGGACATAAACTATTTCTT